TTATCAATCCTCGTGCCTCTCAAGTCTTTGTTATCAGGCATCTTTCTGTTACTCAATTCAAACTGCCTTAAGCACAAAAGGGAATTTACTTTTTGGCTTGTGTAACTGGCTTTTACCAAGGCCTGGGGCTGACCTCAGGAACACAGATGTTGTCGTAAGGGCTGTTTCTCTGTCCATCTGTCTGGGCGGCTCTGCTTCCTTCTTACTACATCTGGAATCCCCCATGGGTGAGAGAGCGCCTGGCTGCCAGCAGTTACAGCTTCTATTGTCTGAGCCCAGAAGGAAAAAAGGGCTTCTCTTTCCTAACACCCGTGCCCAATGCCAGGGAAGAGCTCTGACAGGCCTTGCTTGGCCATCCTGGGCCAGTCCTTATGACCACAAGTGGACACAGTGATTGGTAGCCCTACCAGAACCGCTGGCTTGGGGTGGGAGGAACAAGACAGAAGTCGGGGTGCTGGTACCAAATAAAAATAGAATAGCTGGGTGCTACGGCTCATGCCTATAAATCCCAAGGACTCGAGAGGCTAAGGCAGGAGGGTTGGTTGAACCCAGCAGTTTAAGGCTGCAATGAGCTATGATCGGGCCACTGTACTCCAGCCTGGGCAACAGAGTGAGACTCCCCCCTTTAAAAACACACACACACAAACCCCAAGGTCTGCTGTAGACTTTGTTCCTAGGACGAGTTATGTTTCTGTAAGTAGAAAGTTCTTACATAGTTCATTACAGCCTGTATAAGGATGTTAGTCACTTCCTGTGATAGTGATGGTTCATCATGTCAACTGCATGCTTTGCAGGTGGAAGAGGAAATTGTCACTCTGCGCCAGGTGCTGGCAGCCAAGGAGAGGCACTGCGGAGAGCTCAAAAGGAGGCTGGGCCTCTCCGCGTTGGGGGGTCTGAAGCAGAACCTGTCCAGGAGCTGGCATGACGTGCAGGTCTCTAACGCGTAGGTACCTGCCCCACGGTGGGGCTGCCCTGCTGGCTGGAGAAAACGTTCAGCAGGGGTGTGCCTCTGCCTAGGGGGCAGAGAGTGTTCGTGTTTAGGGGTGGGGTGCCTTACAGGAGCAGGGTCAAGTGAGCCTGCCTGGGAGCAGCCATCGGAAGGCCCCAAGTCTTCACCCTGGGGACTGTAATGTTGTTTGTTCAAAGAGCTTGGAGTCCATGTGTGTTTTAGAAAGGTGAGTGGCTAGTCGTCCTGGCAGAAATGGGCAGGAAGAATATATTTCAGTGTCCAATTTGAGAGAGCACTAATTAGGTTCTTAATGAGAATGGCTTTTCTGTGGTCCCCGTAACTGTGTCTGCTGACCCAGACTATACCATGTGTCCCCAGAACTCCAGGACCTCTGACCCACACCTCACTCAGCTCGCTGAATTTGGGAAGCACAGCTTTCTGACTTGGCCCTGTCAATGTGGCTTCTCTAAAACATATAAGGGATGGAATGTTTCCCAGAAGCCATGTCCCCACAGAAAGATTCAGCTGCATTTCGTATATCTCACCTAGTAAAAGCCCATGTTTTTGTCCTAGGATACTGTAGGTTTTAAATCCCAAAGGGTGACTGTCAAAGAGAGTGCTGTGGCCTGTGGGCTGTGCCCTCCTAGCTCCCCACAGCAGTGGTGCTCCCCGAGAGCCTTCTTCAAGTGGAAAACGAGGGCTCCTTTCATGTGACAAGGAAGGAAACGGTCAGTTCTGGCCCGCTGACACCCCCGGTCTCCTGAGGCCTGCACGGGGTGTGGCTAAGGCCGTGGGCCCTGTGCTCAGGCATGCTAGAGAGGGAGCTGCTGCCAGCTGGCCCTTCTGTGTCTTCCCTGGAATCTCACCTGCAGTCTCAAGCCTGGGTTGCAATAGCTCTTCTAAGTGATTCACCACAAACTTTCTGTTTTTAGCTATGTGAAAACTTCTGAGAAACTTGGAGAGTGGAATGAGAAAGTGACCCAGTCGGACCTGTGAGTGGCCGTGCTGTCAGCACCTCCTTCCTCTTCTCCGCCTCCTGACACTCCTTAGGGGCAGGGGGGCTGGGAACGCTTGGCACAAACCATGTTTTGGTGTTTGCTGGGTATTTTTTCTTGCTATAACTTTTCTCCTCTCAAGTATAAATGAAACTATTCTTTAAACTCTCGTGGAACAGGGTATAGTAGCTGAAAGGGATTCACTCAGCAACCAGACCACGCTTAAAAGTCCGCTCTGCCTGACATGGGTCCCTTAGATGAGAGACC